CCCCCCCAAAAAACCCCAAAATTCCCTGCCAGAATTCCCCAAAATATCCTGGAATCCCCCCGCCCCTCCCCAATCCCTCTCACCTGTCCCTTCCCCCTCCCCGGGGGCTCCTCCCTGGCTCCGGGTGTCCTGTGACAGGTGGGGGAGGGGCTCAGGGCCAGCCTCACCTGAGGGGCTACACTCACCTGAGCCCCTCCCCCATCCCGGCTCACCTGGGTGGGGCGGGGCCGGTGGGGACCCCTCCCCCACTGCAGGTATCCCCCGAGGGTCAGCAGGGCCAGCAGGGTCCAGTTCCCGGCCACGCCCAGCACAGCCGAGGTCAGTGGGAAGTGGTACAGCAGGTACCTGGGACAGGTGGGACAGGGACAGGTGGGACACAGGTGTCACAGGTACAGCGCTCTGGGGTCTGGGACAGCTTTGAGGTCTCAGTGGGGGTGAAGCCCCTTTTTAGAGGCATGGAAGTGGGGCTGGGACAGGTGTGGGGATACCTGAGGACAGGTGTGGGGTACCTGAGGCCGCTGAAATGCGCGTGCACGCGCAGCCGCGCCCCGTAGAGCTGCACCCGCCGGCTGCGAATCTCCACGAACGCCCCCACGGTCGGGGTGTACTGTGGAGGGACCCCGAAAATCCAACTGGGACCACCCAAAATACCCCAAAAATCCACCTGAGACCACCCAAAATAGCCCAAAAATTCCCTCAAAGTACCCCAAATACCCCCGGGACCCCATAACCCCCCCCCCAGGACCCCATAAATCCCCTTTAGCAGCCCCTCAGACCCACGGGGTCCTCCCGGTATCACCCCATCAGTTCCAGCTCCAGGGTCTGGGGCTGTTCTAACCCCCTCAAATCCCACTGGGATCCCATAAATTCCTCCAGGACCCCATAGATCTCCTTTAGCAGCCCCCCAGACCCACGGGGTCCTCCCGGTAGCGCCCCATCAGTTCCAGCTCCAGGGTCTGGCTCTGCTCAGCGAAGCCGCTGAGGAAGAGTCCGGCGAAGGCCGCGGTGTGCAGGGCACGGAGCAGGCGTGAGCGGTAGTGCAGCATGGCCTAGGGACGGGGCACGAAGGGTTAAACCCGCCCCAAACCCCACAAACCCACGGGATCCCAACCAAGGACCTCGAATGCCCCAAAATTCCAACCCTCGAATCTGCATGTGCAGATTTCAAATCCCAGTCTAGACCCCAAATAGCCTCAAACCCACTCTAGACTCCAAATGCCACCATCCCAAATCCCACCCCAAAGCTGCCTTAGCCCCACAAATCTCTGGAATTCCCCCAAATCCCTGAATCCCATTCCCATCCCCGTCGGGGACTGCACCGAGCATGTGGCTGTGGCCAGGGGCCAGCCAGTCCCAAATCCCCAATCCCAAACCCCAAATCCCAATCCCCTGACCCCTCACCGATCTGGCAGCCGTGGCCAGGGTTTTGCCACCGGTGCCGTAGCAGGTCAGGGTCACCATGAACATCCCGAGCTCGCGATTCACGGGCGACTCCGGAAGCTCCAGCTCCAGAGAGATCCGGTACAGCTGCCCATAGAGCAGCACCTGGGGGGGGAACATACCTGGGTACACCTGGGTGGGGCTGGGAACACCTCGGGCAGGTGTGGGGCTGCCCCACAGACCCAGCTCAACCCCAAACCCCACATTTCCCTCGTGTTTTATTGGGAGTGCACTCAACCCCCTATCCCTCCCAAATTGTGGGGATATTTTGACCCCAAATCCCCCAATTTTAAAGGATATTTTAGGACTGCCCAGTCCCAAATCCCCCTCCAAATTTTCACGTTATTTTAACTCCACATCCTCCCATATTTTTGAGGTATTTTTAGGATCTCCCCAGCCCCAAATCCCCCAATTTTAAAAGACATTTTGACCCCACATCTCCCCATATTTTTGTGATATTTTGGAGCCCCTCCCCAACCCACCCCCCCCCACCCCCAAAATTTGGGGTTTTTGGGACCTTCTCGCGGTGCTCCCCCAGCAGGGAGATGTTGGCCGAGGGGAAGGAGCAGAGCTCGGGGCCGGGGCTGTCACAGTCCGACCTGAGGGGGCCAAAATTTGGGGTCAGAGGTACAAAACTGGGGTCCAGTAACCCCCCCAGCACCTCACCTGGCCCAGGTGTGTTCAGGCAAACCAACAGGAGTTATTTTAGGGTCACTCATTCGAAATTCCACATTTAGACACCCCGCAAAAATTCCTGGAGTCCTCAAACATCCCCAAATTCCCCCCACAGACACACCTGAGCCCCCCAGAAACCATCCCTGGACACACCTGAGCTCCCCAGCTCCACCTGCACTGGGTGCCCAACTCCAATCTCACCCATACAAGAGGAGGGGTCCCCCCAGCCCCATTTCCCCCCTCACCTCAAGGCCAGGTGCATACAGGAATGTCTCCCATGTCTGTACTCACCTGAAGCCCAGGTGCAGGGGTCTCACCACGGCCGCCGCAGGCAGGTAGGCCCAGTAGAAGGAGCCGTAAAGGAAAAGCGAGGCCCAGAGCAGCAGCAGCGCCAGGCTCAGCCCCAGCCCCGCCCGCAGCAGCGCCCGCCGCAGCACCTGAGCCCCCCGCAACACCTGAACCCCCCAGGTGAGCCCCGGGGGGGGCGGGAACGCCCCCGGAGCCATGGCGGGCGGCGGGAGGGGACGGGAACCCCATGGGAGGGGGGAGGAGCTGCGGGAGAGAGGGGAGAGGTCAGGAAGGGGGAGGGGAGAGGAGCGGCCCGGGCCCTCCCCCACCCCCCGGAGGTTGGGCTGGGATCCCAAAAATTCTGTCGGCAGCACGAAAATGGGCGAGGGGGAAGCCAAAATTCTCACCTTTGTCCTAAAATTTATGGGAAACCTCTTAAAAACTATTGGGAACGTTAAAATCTATGGGGCAACCCCAAAATTCCTTCCCCCAGCCCCAAAATTTATGGGGGAATCCGAAAATCTATGGGAGAATCCTATAATCTATGGAGGAACCACAGAATTTCCCCTCTTGTCCCAAAATCTATGGGGGAACCCCAGAATTCCCGACTCCAACCCCGAAATTTATGCGAACCCCAAAATTCCCTCCCCAGCCCCAGATTTTAGAGGGCAATCCCAAAATTCCCCCACCCCTAAAATTCGTGAGCGATTCCCAAAATTCCCCCCCACCCACCCCCAAAATTCCTTCCTCCTGTCCGGAAACCTGTGGGAGATCCTCAGATTTTATCGGGAACTTTCTAAATCTGTGGGGCCGCCCCAAAATTACCTCCCCCAGCCCCAAAATCTCTGAGGGATTCCCGAAAATTTTGGAGGAGTCCCAAAATTTTTAGAGCATTCCCGAAATTCTTTCTCCAGCCCCGACATCTTCGGCGGAACTGGAAGCTTTGGGGACCCAGAGAGGAATGTGGGGGTTCCGAAGGGATTTGGGGCATTTTTGGGGCGATTTGGGGTAATTTTGGGGATTTCGGGGGTCCCGATTTGGGTTTTGGGGAATTTAGGGAGGATTTTTGGGCGGGTTTTTGTGATTTCGGGGTCCTAGAGGGGCTTTAGGGGAATTTGAGGAAAATTTTGGGGGAATTTAAAGGTCCCGGAGGAGATTTTGGGGGTTCCCGAGGAGATTTTGGGCCAATTTTTGGGGTTGCCGGGAGAATTTTCGGGTCCCTGAGGAGATTCTGAGGAAATTTTGGTGGATTTGAGATTTCCCTGGGGGATTTTCGGGGTTTTCGGAGGTCCCGAATACGATTGCGGGGATTTTTAAGGTGATGTTGAGGGTATTGGGGTGGATTTTTGGGATAATTTCGGGGTTTTTTCGCCTCTTACCGAACGCCGGCGCCTCTCGCTTCCCGCCACGCCCTGGCCACGCCCTCGGCCCCGCCACTTCCGGCTCTAAGCCCCGCCCCGCTCTTTCTCCATTGGTCAATCCCATTCTGGCCCCGCCTCCTCTCCTAGCACCGCTACTCATTGGCTCCGCCCACTGCGGCCCCACCGGGCCCCGCCCCGTTTCCATAGCAACGGGGTGGGAGGGGTGGGTGGGCTTTTTTTGTTTGTTTGTTTTTGGGGGGTTTTTTTTGGAGTTTTGTTTTTTGGGTGTTTTTTTTTTAATTTGGGGAGTTTTGGAGGTCTCGGAGGAATTTCGGGATGTTACGGTGGCTGGGGATGCTCCTTGAGGGCACTGGGATTTCCTGAGGGGGTTTTGGGGTATCCAGAGGGTGTGGGCAAGGTCATGGGGGTTTTGGGGGAGGATTTGGGGGCGATTCGGGGATTTTGGGGAGTCCAGGAGGGGTCTGGGGGTTCTAAGAGGGATTTGGGGGGGGGTTGCTGGGAGGATTTGAGTGTGATCAAAATTTCGGGGTGGGGGAGGGGTCCCCTTAACCCCACCCCTCCCCCATCCTGCACCCCCTCCCCATTTTTGAAGGAGGGGGGCGGGCGGGGTTTGAGGCTCCCCCAAAATTGGGGAGGGGGGGGAAGAGAAGGGGGAGAAGTGGGGGAGGGGCGAGGGCGTGGGCCCCCTCCCCTCCCCCACCCCCTCCCCCCCCCTTTTGGGGCAAAGAGAAAAAGGGGGGGGGGGGGGGGGGGGGGGGGGGGGTTGGGGGGGGGGGGGGGGGGGGGGGGGGGGGTCCGGGGGGGGGGGGGAGAGGAATTTGGAGGCGATTTTTGGGATCTGGGGGAGGGTTTTGCGGGGGGGGGAGAATTTGGGGTTTGGGGGGGATAGGGGAGGGCAGGATGGGGGAGGAGAATCTGGGGGGATTTGGGGTTCTGGGGTGGATTTTTGGGAGAATTTTGGGGTCCGGGGATGGATTTGGGGGGGCGGGAGGGAGGATTTGGGATGACAATTGGGGTGCAGGGGCTGAAATTTGGGATTTTTTGGGGGAATCCAGGCGGGAATTTTGGAGTGTGGGGAGGAAATTTGGGTTGGGGGTTAGGGGAGGACTTTGGGGGGGAAATTTTGGGGCCCTTTGGCAGATTTGGGGGAAGGAAATGGAGGGGGAGGGAGGGAATCTGGGTAAAAATTTGGGATTTTGGGGGGGAATTTCTGACGGAGGAAATCTGGGATTTTAGAGGAGGATTTGCGGGGGGGGTGGAAATGCCATTTTCCCTGGTGATTTTTGGGTGGATTTGTATTTTTGGGGATTTTTTTTTTTTTTTAGGTTTTTGGCTGCTGGGCATTTAGAGAAGCTGCCAAATTTTGGGTTGGGGGATTTAACTTGGGGTTTTTGCAGAAAGATTTCGGGGGAGAGGGTTTTTTTTGGGGGGGAAACATTGCATTTATGGGGGATTTTTTTGGGGGGGTCAGGGGAATTTTGGGGGTTTCTTGAGGTTTTTTTATTTTTGGGGGGGTCCCAAATTTGGGGGTGCCCCCGCAGCCCCCCCATGAAGGGCGAGCCCCCCCCCAGCAGCACCCTGAGCGTGGGCCAGGCCCGGAAAATGGTGGAACAGCTGAAGATCGAGGCCAGCCTGTGCCGGGTCAAGGTCTGGGGGGAAAGGGGATTTGGGGGGGCAGTCAAAGAGATTTCGGGATAAAATGGAAATCTGGGGGGGACAGAAGGAGGATTTAGGGGGGTTTGGAGGAGACTGGGGGGTTTAAGAGGGATTTAAATGAGATTTTGGGAGACTGAAATGGGATTCTTGGAGGAGTAAAAATGGGATTTGAGAGCATTTCAAGGAGGTTTGGGGGTAAAAAAGGGAATTATGGGGCAGTTTGGGGAGGATATAAACGGGATTTGAGGGGTTAAAAACAGATTTGAGGGGAGGGGGTAAAAATGAGGATTTGGGAGGGGGTGTGGAGGAAGGGCAAGATTTGGGATTCCAGGGATGGATTTGTGAATTCAGGGTTGGATCTGGGGAGCTCCAGGCACGTTTTTGGGGTTTCCAGGTGTGGTTCTGGGGTCCCTGACTCTGTTTTCCCCCTTCTCAGGTGCCCAAAGCTGCCGAGGGAGGGATTTGGGATTTCAGGGCGTGGATTTGAGGAATCAGAAGGGGGATTTGAGGGTTCCAGAGTTAAATTTGGGGTTTCAGGAGTGGATTTGAGATTTCAAGGTTGGATTTAGAGATCCAGGAGCTGGGTTTGGCGTTTCCAGGTGGTTCATGTGGTTTTGGGGGGTCTTTCTTGTGGTTTCAAGGGGTATTTTTGTAGCTTTTAATTGTTTTGGGGGTTCCAGGTTGAATTTAGGATTTCAGTGTCGAATTTGGGGTTTTAGGAGTGGACTTGGGGTAAAGATTTGGGTTCAGGGAGTGATTTAGGAATTCCAGGTACATTTTTGGAATCCCAGCTGTATTCTGAGGAATTCCAGGTGTGGTTTTGGGGGTCCCTGAGCCCGTTTTTCCCTGATGCAGGTGTCCAAGGCAGCTGCAGAGCTCCTGAGTTACTGCGAGGCTCACGCCTGCGAGGATCCCCTGCTCACCCCCGTCCCCACCTCCGAAAATCCTTTCCGCGAGAAAAAATTCTTCTGCGCCCTCCTCTGAACCTCCCCGACATTCTGGGGGAGCCCCCCCAACATTTCGGGCCACTCCCATAAAAATTAGGGCCAATTTCACCCCCAAAAATGAGGCAGAAATGAGGGGGGTGGGGTTAATTTGGGGGCTTTGGGGTCCTCTCGCTGCTGGGAACTCCCCCCCCTAAATTGGACACCCCCCCAAAAAAAGCCTTGGGGTGGTCCCAGCTCAGAACGGGGGGGGGGGGGGGGGTAGGGGATTTTGGGGGCTCCCCCACCCCAAAAAGGCTTCAAGGATGGACTATGGGAAGGTTCTGGAATTGGGGGAGGGAGAGAACCCCTCTAAAATCACCCCCATATTCCCCTCCCCCATCACTGCCCATCCCCTCCTCAAAACGAGGACCCCCCCAAACTTTAGGACACACTCAAAAATTCATCTCTCACGTCCCCCCACCCCAAATTCTGGGGGTTCCCCTCCCCCAGCACTAACCCCCACCCAAATTTCGGCTCTAAGGGACCCCGCTGGGGGTTAAAGGGAGGGTTCCCCAATTTCGGGGTGTCCCCCTCTCCCCAAATAAACACTTGGCGGCACAGATGGGGCCGGGGTTCTTATTTGGGGTTCCCAAAAAAATGGGATTGGGGAGGAATGTTTCCCAAAAGTTAATGGGGGGGAGGGTAATTTGGGATGGGGATGTGGGGAGGAAGTGGGGAAGGGGGGAGGGGGCACAGAGCGGAATTTGGGGTCTGGGGGAAGGGAGGAAGAAGAAGGTGGAAAAGGGGGAAGAAAAATAGGGAAGAGGAGGAAGAAGAAAAGAAGAAGGAAAAGGAAGAGCAGCTCCCTGAGACCCCTCAGGGTCCCACACCCAACATGGCGGCGCCCATACCTTCCACTGGGCGCCGCCATGACATCCGCGCATGCGCCCGGTGCCCCCCGGCCGCCCCAAGACCGCACCTCCCAGCACCCAAAATGGCGGCGCACAACACGGCCTCCACGCCCGCTTCCAAAATGGCGGCGGGAGGGAAAAGGGGTGCATCGGGGTCTCTGGGGACGTTTCCAGCCCACGCGGGACCCCCCTAAAAAGCTTGTAGGGGGCGGGGGAGCCGTGTACCGTTAAGCCCCGCTCTCCCGCCACGTCATCGCCGGCAGCATCCAAGATGGCGGCGCCCACAACCCTCCCTCGTTGCCACGGCAACAGAGCCCAGGCCGGAGGCCTCGGAGCGGGCCCGGGCTGCGCAGAAAGGAAATTCGGTCATTAAATCTTTAACTGAGGTCATTAATTGATCATTTATGATTTGTGCTTTATCTTAAAGACATTGTGGCTCCACAACGGCCTCAGAAATAGGCCCAGAACCAGGTCTGGACCCCCAGTCAGGCCCAAATGTTAAAACCAGGCCCAGGCCCCCAAACCCCGGACCCCCAAACCCAGCCCAGCTCCCCCAAAGCCGGGCCAGCTTCGCAATCCAAGCTGGGTTTAAGCCCCCAAACCAGGTTTAAGCCAAATAAAGCCCCAAAATCAGCACCAGGACCAAGTTTAAGCCCCCAGCTTCCTCTAAACCCAGGTTAACCCCCAAAATGCAGTTTTAATCTTCCCAGACCTCATTTTAAACTCCCAAAGTCGGTTTGAACCCCAACCCAGTTTTAACCCAGTAACTCCACCCCGCCACCGTTTACCCCTAGGGCAAATTTTAACCCACCCAGACCAAATTTCAGCCTCCCCCAAACCCCATTTAAAACCCAGTTTTAACCACATGAATGTGGTTTGAATCCCCAAAATCAGATTCAATCCCCCAAACTCGGTTTAACGCAACCCCCCCCCCCCCCACCCCCCCCCCCCCCCCCCGGGTTCGGGAAGAATTTCCTTGGAGACCCTTTTAAACCCAGTTTAACCCCTTTAAACCCAATTTTAAACCCCAAAAACACCACCCGAGGCCGCCCTGGGCTCAAGCGAATTTTCTTTATTTCTAAAAAGGGACAAAACCGCCCGACACGGCCTGGGGGGGAGGGGGCGGTGGGGGCCCGGGGCCGGGGGGGGGGTCAAGGCCGCTCCTCCCCCACCTCGGGGGGTGGCAGCGGCCGAATTTGGGAAATATTTCTTTTGACATTTTCGACCCCAAAAATGGAAGAAACGACCACCAAAAAGAGGAGAAAACGGGGTGAAAACTGGCGGGGGGAAGGGCTGAGAAGGATCCCCAAAAAAACAGGAAAAAAATGGGAATTTTTTTAATGGATTTTTGTGGTTGGGTTAGGGTTTAAGATTTTTTTTTTTTTTTGGGTGTTTTTGTTTTATTTGAAAAAGGACCCGAAATGCTCCGAAAGTGGCGGCAGTGCCGCCCCCTCCCTCACTTCAAAAAATCCCAAATTTGGGGTTTTTTGGGGGGGTTTCTCGCACTGGGGGATGGGAAAAGGAGGGGGGGAGGGGAGGAGGGAGGAAAAATCCCCAAAATGCCAAAGAAACAACGAAAAAAAAAACCCCAAAGACCAAAACTTAAAAACCTAAAAATAATAAAAAACCCAAATTGCCCTGAAAATGCCCCCAAAATTTCCCAATTCTTCCCAGAAATTCCCCCGAAAAGGCCCCAAATCCCCCAAAATTAAAGGAAAAAAAATCCCCATTATTAGAGGCTTCATTAATTAATGAAAAACCCATTAATGGAGATTCCCTATAATTAAGGAACCATTAACTAATAAAAGAGTTACTATTTAACAGATTAACAAAGAAACCCCAATTATTGAAAGGCCTGTTAATTAATCAAGGCCCCCCATAACGATTATTAATTAACTAAAATCCCCTCATTAACACCAATTAACAACTCCCTGGGGGGGGAGTGGAGGATTTGGGGTCCCCCCAGTTTCCAACCCCGCCTTTTCCCTGGGAATTCTCCCAAAATTCCTCAAATTCCATTAAAATCCTCCCAAAATGCATCAAAATCTCCACAAAATTCATCGAATTCCATCAAAATTCCCCAAAACGGTCCCAACATTTTCCAGGGAAATTCCATCACGGGGAAAAGGTGGGAGGGGAAGATTTGGGGGGGAATTTTTCCCCCTTTTCTCCCACAAATCTCTCCCCCACCCCTGAATCTCCCCCAGGAAATGAAGTTTTCCAGTTTTTCCCCTCTTCCCCCCAAATCTGCCTCTTCCTGCCCCTCCCCCGCTGAGCTGGGGGTGGGGGAGGGGCGTGTTTACATTTTGGAGACTCCCCTCCCCCCTCCCCCACCGCCAAAACCTGGAATTTTTTTCATTTTTCCCTCTTTTTTTTGCGCTTTTTTTTATACAATTACAACAAAATTCTTTCAACAAACTTTAAAAAAAAATTTACATTTTCCATCTTTTTTTTTTGCCTTTTTTCGCCTTTTTTTCCCCCCCTTTTTTTTTTTGATGTTTTTTTCCTCTCTTTTCCCCTCCCCCCTCCCCCCCTTTTTATTTTTCCAGCCCCTCCCCCCTCCCCGTTTTTTTTTTTTTCTCCTTTTGTTTTTCCCTTCCCCCCCGACCCGCCCCCACCTCCCCAAAATTTTCGGGAATTTGTTTTGGGATGGGCCGGGGTTCACCGGTAGCCCTGGTAGCCATAGTAGTTCCTGTAGTACCGGTCTCTGTCCTGGTAGTAGTTCTGCCACTGAGGGAGAAATTTAAACTGGTTAAACTGGCTTAACTGGGAGGCCCAAAACCCACCAAGAACCCCCCCCCACCCCAAAATGTCCCTGCTTGGTTTTCCCAAAATTCCCCCAATTCCACCCCAAAATTCCCATTAAAATTAACAATTCCTGGGTTTTACAACCAGAAGTAACCTCTGTGTCAATCTCAGCTCAACACTGGTGTAAATTCCAGTTCAACCCTGATTTAACCCCAGCTTAACCCGAGTGTAAATCCCAGTTTTACCCTGATTTAACCCTGGTGTAACTCCCAGTTTAACACTGATTCAACCCTGGTGTAACTCCCAGTTTAACACTGATTCAACCCTGGTGTAACTCCCAGTTTAACCCTGGTGTAACTCCCAGTTTAACACTGATTTAACCCTGGTGTAACTCTCAGTTTATCACTGATTTAACCCTGGTTTAACCCTGGTGTAACTCTCGGTTTAGCCCTGATTTAGGCCCGGTTTAAGGCCGTACCTCGCGGTTGTACTGCCGGTAGTAGTCGCGGTATCTGTTGTAGTCGTAGTCGCGGCCATAGAACCGATCGTCGTAGCCCCGGTAGCGCTCGTAGAAGTTCCGGTAGCCCTGGGGACAGGAACACCAGTCAGAACCAGTCAAAACCAGTAAAGACCGGTTCAGACCAGAAAAAAACGGTAAAAGATGATAAAACCCAGTAAAAACCCGCTTTAAACTGGTAAAAAACAGTGACAACCCATTTAAACCAGCTCAGCTGAAGCCAGTTTAAACCAGTTCAGACCCATTAAAAACGATCCAAAATGGTTCAAACCAGTTTAAAACAGTCCACGAACCAGTTCAGATCAGTAAACACCAGTTTAAAATTAGTCCAAACCAGAAAAGAAACAGTCCAAGCCACTCTGAAAGAATTCAGATCCATGCCCCAGAATGAGCAGGAACCAATGGGAAGCAGCCAGGAAAGGATCAGGAAGAGGGAAATGGCCTGGAAACGCCCCAAAAATGCCCCCAGTGACCCCAGACATGCCCAGGAAGTGTCAGAAATTCCCCCAGAAGTGCCCGGGAAGGGCTCAGCACTGCCCATAAGCTCCTGGAAATGCCCAGAACCGCCCCGGAAGTGCCCGGCCCGCACTCACCCCGCGGTTGCCAGGCTGCCCCCAGTACTGCGGCTGCTGCTGGCCCCCGTAGACGCGGCTGTCGTAGCCCCGGCGCTGCCCCCCCACTGTGGAACGGGAATAGGGGAGGGTCAGAGCCGGAATTTGGGACTGGCCCAAAAATCCGGCACCAATCCCAGCCCAGCATTGTAAATCCAGCCCAAAACAGCGTCAAATTCAGCCCAAATCCATCCCAAATCCTACCCCAATCTCCACCCACATCCCTATGTCTCCCTGCCACATCCCTAAATCCCATTCCCACTCCGTATTCCAGCTAGATCCCATTCTTCCCTCCCCAGATTCCATTTCCCCCGGTTTTTATCCCACGTTTTACCCCGGTTTTTCCCCCATTTTCCCCGTATTTCATCCCGTTTTTCCCCCTGACCGTAGCCCTGGCCACGGTTGCGGTTCTGCCGGTTCCGTTTGTTGCGGTTGTTGCGCCGGTTCCCGCGTTTCTCCGAGGGCGGGAGCTGCTTCCGCGCCTCCTCCTTCCAGCGCAGCACCAGCGGCGCCGCCTCGTCCCGGCCCAGCTCCCCAAAAACAACCTCGTCCACGTACTCGTTCTTCTCAGGGATGGAGTAATTGGCTGGAAAACGGGAAAAAAAAAACGGGGGAAATCAGCTCAAAAATAGGGGGAAACATTCAGGATCTGCCCGGGAAAAATCCGTGCTGGGAGGAGCAGCTAATGTGGAAAAGTGGAGGACGAGTGGCAAAAGCGGGAGAAAAATGTTCCCTGTAAGTCCCAAAAACGGGAAAAAATCCCCAAAAAATGGTAAAAAAAATCCCAAAAAATGGTAAAAAAAATCCCCCCAAAATGGGAAAACTCGGCAATTTTCCATGCGATTTTTCCCCGGTTTTCCCCTGATTTTTCCATGTTTTTCTCTGCTTTTCCCACCTTTCATCTCGAGCATGACGGACTCGGGCACGTCATCACCCTCGGCCTGGCGCCGCTGCTCCAGGCGCTGCTCCCAGTCCGGCTCTGTCGGGACGATCACCACGACTTTCCTGGAAAAGCCCTTGAAGGCCGAGAGCTTCCGGCGCTGCCCCGAGTTGTACACGTTGCACTGGGGAAAAAAAAAAATAAAAAATGGGGATTTGGGCTCAGGAATGGGGGTTCTGGAATCTGGAATGGGGATTTTGGGATTTGGAATGGGGATTTTTGGGGTGGTTATCTCAGATTTTTTTGGGATGGTTATCCCAGATTTCTTGGGGATTTCTGTGCTGGTTTTCACCTCTCCCAAGACACCCAGCCTAGGATGAAATGAGGATTTTTAGTGGGATTTTCGGGGGGGGGTTCTGAGGGATTTTTTTGGGGCAGCCTTCCCAGATTTTTGCATGATTTCCAGGTGTTTCCCAGGTGTTTTTTCCAGGCTTTTGCTCCTGCCAGGTACCTGGTCCAGGATGAAGTTGCGGCGGGCGCGGGGGGCGATCTGCACCAGCTTGCTAAGGCACTGCGCCGCCTGCTGAGTCAGCAGCTCCCGGCTCTTGGCGTCCAACTCCTCCGGCTCCGGCCCCCGCGTCTGCAGGAATTCAGGGATTTGGGAATGGGCACAGGAGGGGGGAAAGGGCACAGGGAGCTCTGGGGTGGCCTCAGGTTCCAGCTATTCCCACCACACAATTCCCATCGGTGCCATGCTGTTATCCCACCCCATCAATCCCATTATTCCCAGTCCATCCCATTATTCCCAGTCCACACCATTCCCATTCCCATCCTGAATTCCTGTTTTCCCTCTGTTGCCCTGAGCTGGTGCAGGACAGAGATCCCATCGTGTGATCCCATGGTTCCCATCGTTCCCATTATCCCACGGATCCCACATCATTCCCACAAATCCAATCAACCCCACAGGTGCTGACCCTGAGCTGGTGCAGGACCCGCTCCGTCCCCAGGATGTTGTAGCGCTTGTCCCGGTTTTCCTGGGAATGTTTCTGTGCCCACTGCGTCTTCCCAGAGCCTGGGAGCCCCACCATGAGCAGCACCTGGGGAGGGGGGGAGGCAACTTCCATGGAACTCCACGTCGGATGGAACACCGGGAACTCGCAGACGGAACTCCGGGATCCGACACCCACCTCGCACTCCTCGGTGCTCTTGGGCCCCGGGGGTGTCCGGACCCTGTCGGGGGCGGGGATGTCGTGGATGAACTGGAAGCCCTCGGGGACGGGTGCCAGGGGCTGCGGGCGCTGCCCGAAGTTGAGCTCCACGGCGCAGCCCTTGCAGAGCACGTGGGGCAGCAGCGCCCGCTCCTGCAGCGCCTCCTTGGGGATGCGGAAGGCGGCTCCCAGCTCCTGCCCGTTCTTGGAGAACGACAGCTCCACCAGCTCCTCGCCCTCAAAGTCCTGCACAAGGGGATTGGGGGGGAAATGCAGCGGCTTAGCCCCTGTCCAGAGACAGCCCTTCGGTGTTTTCTCCGTTATTTCCTGACTTTTCCCGAGTTCTTCCTGATTTGCCCGTTTTTTCCTGATTTTTTTTCTGACTTTCCCTTTTTTTTCCACTCCCTTTTCCTGATTTTTCCCACTTTTTTCCCCCATTTTCCCCGTTTTTTCTAGATTTTCCCCAATTCTCCCCCCAGATTTTCAGGACTTCTCCCAGTTTCCCCCCAATAACCTCCTGATTTTTCCAGTTTTTCCCAATTTTCCAGATTTTTCCCCATTTTCCCCCCTTCCTCACCGCGAAGCAGCCGATGACGTCATTCTCCCCGAAGCTCTCCCCGAATTCCTCGAATTTCCCATTTTCTACCTTCAGTCCCCGCCCGTCAAAGCCATAGGAAAACTCATCCTCCCCTGGAACAGGGCAAAAAAACGGGATTTAGGGATGGATTTGGGAGTTTGAGGATGGATTTGGGGAATTTGGGAATGGATTTGGGGATGAGGATGGGAACTTCAGGATTTGGGAATTCTGGGCTGGTTTTGGGGATCCTGGGGTTGGATTTTGGGTCTCACCCAGCTGGGAGTGGGAGAAATCCACGGACCAGCCCACCCTGAGCAGAGGCACCTCGGAGCTCCCCTCCTTCCCCGGGAGGTTCTGAGACACCTGCATGAAAATTCGGGATTTGGGGTCTAAAAATCCAGGAATTGGGCAGGGAAAGGGGAACAGCAGCAGCAAAAATCCCCAGAAAACCCCAAACAGACCCAAAACCCACTAAAACAGGCATAGGAAACCCCAAATACGCACAAAAGTTCCCAAATCAGACAGCAAAAACCCCAAATCCCCCTAAAACATCTCAAACTCTCCCAAAATATCCCTGACCCCTCTGAAAAACCTAAAAGCGCCCAAAAACCCCAAATCCCCCCCAAAACACCCCAAGCCCACCCAAAAAACCCCTAAAACCACTTCAAAAATCCCCCCCCCCAAATCCCTCAAACCCTTCCCCAAAAAGCCCAAATCCTCCCCAAACCAACCCTGTCCAAACCCCCGCTAAAACCTCCCCAACAATTCCCTTTTCCCCCCGCCCCCAGCCCATCCCGAGGACTCTGCTGATATTTTTTTTTGGGGGGGGTGGATTTTGGGGTTGTTGTGCTGCCCACCTTGGCCTGGAAGCAGACCCGGCCCCGGGTGACCCCGTGGGTGCTGCGGGCGCCGGCCCAGAGCCCCGGGAAGCGCTCGGAGAAGAGCGGCTGCCCCCCGTACCGGTCCCGGCTGGCACGGAACTGCAGGTCCGACGTGTCTGGGGAGGCAAAAACCCCAAATTCTGACCCCCTAAACCCCTGCTGAGATCTGTGAAATCAACACAAAAACACCCCCAAACTTATCACAGAACCCTGTCTGGAATTAGGCTGGAGTGGCCTCAAGGGTTAAAATGGCTGAAATTGTCTCAAAAATCTGCCTTGGGTTGAGCCAAATCCAAGATGGTTCCTTCCAATTATCCCAAAATTCCACCTGGAATTCCTTATTTCCATCTCAAGTCCAACAAAAATCCCTGAAATCAGCACAAAAATCCCCCAAATTATCCCAAAACTCCACCTGGAATCGAGGCAAAGTCACCTCCAATTCCAAAATTCCTGAATTTCTACCCAAAACTCACCTTGGATTGAGTCGAATCCACCTCAAATCATCCCCAAAAATTCCAAAATCACTCCAAAAAATCCCAAATCATCCAAGAAATTCCCAAATCCCACAAAAAAAAAAAAATCCAGATGGCTTCAAAATCCACCCCCAGACTCCACAAAATCGGCTCCAAAATGGCACCAAATTCCTCAAATCCTTGACAATTGCCTAAAATCCTGAAAGAAATCCCTGAACTGATCCTAGAAATTCCCAGAAATTTCCCAGAATTCCCAAATTCTCGTACAGGTGTCCAGGATCACCAGGGTCTCGTCCTCCTCCCCCTCTGGGGGCTCCTCCTCCGGCGGTGGCGGCGACTTGGATCTGTGGGATTGGGAAAACTCCTAAACTTGGGGAAAAAATCCCAAATTCTGGGGGGGAAAATCCCAAATGCAGAGCAGAGAAACGTCCAGAAAATCCCAAATTCCTTGGGAATTGTTTATGGGGCTCCCGAACTTCCAGAGTCTCTCCAACACTTGGGGATCCCAATTTTCAGGACACCCAAAATTTCAGAAAATCCCAAAATGCTCAGGAATTCCTGATTTTGGGATCTCTCATGGATGATCACAACCCTTTGGGATCCCAAATTACTGAGGCCCCAGAATTACAAAGAATTCCCAAAACTCTCAGAAAATTCCCAAAATTCCCCAGGAATTCCTGATTCTGGGATCTCTCCAGAACGTCCAGGACTATCCCAAGTCCCAGAAAACCCCCAGAAAATTCCCCCCAAAAATTCCCCACCTCCCCCCAAAATTACAAAATTTTAAAAAATCTAAAAAGTTCCCTAAAAAAAAATCGCAAAAAATCCAGAAAAATGCTACAAAAATTCAAAAAATTTCTAAAAAAAAAAAATAATTCAAAAAAACAATTTCTAAAAAAAAAATTTCTAAAAAAATAATTACAAAAAAAATAATTACAAAAATACAATTACAAAAAAAAAAAAATTACAAAAAAATATGTAAAAACCTAAAGAATTTTTTAAAAAAATCGAAAAAAATTCAAAATAATAACAACAAAAAAATCTAAAAAAATACCAAAAAAATTCCTGAAGCTCCCCCAAACCCCCTGGAATTCCCAGAACCCCCCCAAATTTCCCCTCCTGCCCCACCTGCTGTTGTAGGCCTCCTCACGGAACTCGTGGTACGCCCGCCCGTGCTCGTCCTTCTCGTCCCGCAGCCGTTTCACCCCGCGGCGTTCGGCGTCCGGGGCCTTGGCCTTGTCCTCCTCCTCCCCTGGAAAACACCCCAGGGATTTTATATCTCCTACCCCAAAACACTCTGGGATTTATTGATCCCGTCCCTAAAACACCCTGGGGTTGGTTTGTCCTGCCCTAAAATATCCC